TGTTCAAGATCTTGACTTCTTGAAATTTCTTGAATTCTTATATTTTCTTACCAAGATCTTGAATCAAGATCTTACTGAAAAAATTCAAGAAGTCAAGATCTTGGTTACAAGAAGTTTCACTAGGGAAGATTTCTCTACAAAATTGAGGCACTAGACCAGCTCTTCACGATGTTTTCTGATCGAGTTATGATTATTTTGGATGTTATATCAGAAATGTGACTTCTTCAAAGACTTCCAGCAAAATAATCATAACTCGATCAGAAAACATCGTGAAGAGCTGGTCTAGTGCCTCAGTTTTGTAGAGAAATCTTTACTCTACAAGAGTGACTGTTTCAAAAGGTTATCAAGTACTGAATGAAAGACAAAAAAAGTTTCGAAAGAAAAAAACTAGGGTTTTTTCAGAGTAAAGTAACAAACTTTAAAAAATTCGTATCTCCTCAACGGAAGGCCGTGGAGAGCTGGGCTGGAGCGGTCTTAGTTTGTAGAGGACACTTTACTCTGTAATGCACAATATTTAACTCAAAAATAAAAAATATTTCTGAAAAAGTCTAAAAAAAGAGGGGGTTACCTTTAGTTTTCTCTCACGGTACGCAACAGAATTTCATAATATATACACCACTAGAAGGACATCTTCCTCAAACCTACATATATTCCGTTCCGGAGTCAAAACCTTATAGTCGCCTTTATACTTTTGAGGGGATAAAATGTAAAAAGAAAAGGTACTTACGGCTTTGCTTTGCTTGTCTTCGTTTTAGAGAAATAACAATGTCTAAATACACTTCTTCTACCACAAAAATATCGATCAGAAATTCATCAAAAGCTATTACAAACACAATTAATCGTACCCCGTCTTCCTCTAGCGTTTATATCACGGACAAAAGAGAAATCAAATACAACCACTCGCCAACGACGATCAGCTCCATCGAAGAAAACCAAACTCAAAACAAAAAGTGTATTACCATCATCAACGAATAATAAAAACAATGCTAATAACGAAGAAGAAAACAATGAAACAGTAACGAAATCAACATCTTCGATATGGAGACATTGTACTCGAATAACAACCGTTGTTAACGATAAAACTGTGATTAAAATACAATGTAATTTATGTTCGAAAATATCAACAACGCCGATACGCAATATTATACCTATCTTCCATATCTATCTATCTTCCAGTAGGCTCTTGAGCCTATTGAGCTTTAGCCAGAGGAACTAATTCAGGCCGATAAGTGTGTTTACTGGTTGATGTCTCATTGGTCATGCCTATAGTTAGAGGATTGACTTGGAGTCTATTTATCTTTGGGTTATGAAAGTCTTTCTGAAACGTTGATGTGATTATATCAAAGCTGTACAAATCAGTGAAATTTGTTGCTTCGAATTATGTTTAGATACAATGCTGTAACCCACTAGTTATGTTGAAGCTGGCATGCGTAATGCCACTTAATCTCTTTACACGGCATTTTCGAACGACATTTCGAAATGTGGTCTTTCCAGATGTATGTTTGTGTATTACAGATTTCAAAATTGGTCTTTTATGTGGTCCGGAAAATCTTGTACTCTTTACCACTCATGAGAAATCAGGATAACCTCCCCCAAAAGACCATGCCCGTATACAGTGTTTCGGCACATCGCTACTTTTTTGGGCGGCCTTCTATTGAGGGTCAATTTTTGGCCAACTATTAATAATAATATCTTTAAAATTTCAATAATTAATTAATTTTTTAAAGGCACTTTTCAATGAATAAGTGCCCTGTTTTTGTGAGAAATACACTATTTATGAGAATACAGAGAGAGTTAGCATGAAAACGTCGTCTGATCTTGGTAATGTTACACTGATCTGATCTGATCTAATCTAACCTTATTACCTGTCAGCTCTTCTATGCAGCTTTGATTATTGTGGCACACAACTCTTTTGTTTCCTAACCATGTTATGTAGAAATAACGCTTTCTCTTTCGCATGAATATACCTCACCTAATATGCTTTTAATTTCATGTTTTTTATGGTTTCTATGATATGAGAAAAGATAATGTGAAGGGAATGATTTAGAAAGATTCAAATGAAAAATGTTTACGGGCAGTTCTCATGAGCCACAAAACTTTTTCATTTCTTCGCAAAAGCATATAACCGTTGATTATAAAAGCATCGAAACTTTGAGTGTCTATTTAATGTGAAAGTTGTATGAACAATCGGTAGTATACACAGAGATTCTCATCAAGTCTTATCAAGAAAATAGCTTCGAGTTTTCTTTGTGAAATTAGACTAACCCGATTACGCCATTTTTTACGGAGCTTGCCTCATCAAACCGTGAAATTTTTATTTTTTATAAAAGAGAAGGGTAAGAAACGCATTTTTGTGTTTTTTAAAAGCGAGGAATTTGTGTAGACATTTCATTACTTGTTTTCTCCAACCTCGCTCAAATGTATTTTTCCATTAAACACATGTCATAGAAAAGTCCTCTTTTTGTCGTTTCAGAGAAAAAACGGTTTTAAAGGATTTTTCTATATCTCGTTCAAAATCGCATCTGAACACAAATATTTATATACATTTTCGACATATTCATCTCACAAATATACATGACAAAAAATTTTCATATTTATTGTTCATCAACATGACATGCCTGAGCAGCGTGGCTCAGTCAGCTAGTGGGCAGACAACGAAGTTCGAATCTCGGTAACGGTGATCGCGTGATAGTCTTGGACAAGCTATCTAATACTCATTGTCTCGATACCTTTGGGCACAAATGCAATGGGCTAACCCGATTTCAGTGGTCATTGGACTGGAGAGATAAGAGTTAAAGTTTAAAAAAGCGTTTGTACTTTTGAATCCCATAACTGGTACTCATAACGGTGGACTGTTGTTCTCAAGATAAGTCTGGTGGTACTGGACTAGGTATTGATGAGACTCACCAATATTGCACTAAAACTAGGTAATAAAAGAAAATTCTCAATTAGTTCCTCTCATATATTCGTCTAAAAGTAAGTTATGAAAACGTGTAGTTTCACAACCGCGCACATTCCGTTAGAATTAGTTCAAACTTTCATTGTTTTTTGCAATTTCCACCAATTCGACCAGATTTTTCGACTAATTTAACAGTTTAGAAGGGATGAAACTTGATGTTCTTGTAGCAACATTTGGTCGGAATTGGAGGCTCTTAATAGCGAGCGAAAAATAGTGGTCTTTATAAGTGTTTGCATGGAATTGTGCATGCCTAAAAGGTAGTTTGAGTAATGGAATAATTTCTAGAAGAAGGTTTTCTTTTTTTCAATATCTGAAACCGATAAGCCTTCAGCAAAGAAAAATCTATTTTTTTCTCGAAATCTGGCGAGGGTCAAGCCTATCGAGCTTCGTGGCTCCGCCGCTTGTACCAAAAATGTTTTGATATTTTTGATCTATTTGCTAACCTCGAATAGAAGGTCGCTACTTTTGAAATCGTTGATTTAAAGTATTTCTGTGAGTCTTTAAACGTTCAAGTAAACCATAACGCTTTCCTTGCAATTAGAACCGTCACGGTACTTTGCCTGCCTCTTCCATTATTTCACCAGTAAAGTAACGGAAAATGTGTTACCTGCTACTAGTAGTCACACCGATAAAGTACCATTCCTACTAGAAAGGGTTTTTATTATTTATCAAGGAATGTTCGTATCTATCTATAGTTATCTGAAGAGGTTTTAAGTTAATCTTATTCGATTATTTCTTTGTATTAATAATTCTAATTAATATGCGAAATATAAAAAGGCGTAACTCATATCTAGACCTCTAGATTATGCTTCGAAGAAGTATGTGAACTGTCTCTCACTAAATTTCGACGTAACTAAGGAAAACATTTCTGTGGCGAAGAAAGGTAGAGGAATGGAATACACCTTTTTGTAAAATGTTTGTAAATTATGTTTTCTCCATATGGTAGAATATAGCGCGCGCCAAAAATATACATCTAAATTAAGTAAATGTTAAAGTTTAATAGTACTTTTCATTCGAACAGCAATCGCTTTAGCTATGTGTATCATCATACGTTAGTAAATTAATTATCGCCCATTTATTTTTTTCTTTCACTCTTATATACGTCTGAAAGCGGGGTATACATCGAAAGAAAATGCATGAGTCATTATTGCTAAAAGAAGACTTATATAGTAATGGCGCCGATCCAACAACAAATAATAAAATTGTCAAATTAGTATTAAAGTCAAAACATGTATCATTGGCCAAAAATGCGCAAGTCGAATTACAACTACCCATTCTGTTACAAAAAGTCTATATGTATGAAGTGCAAACTCAAACAGTTGATAATGAAAATAATTTCAATGGTGTAGCTAAAACTCTATCAGCAGATACAAGAGAATCAGCTACATCTTCTGGTAATGAAAAGAGAGAGAAGTGCTGTATTCGCCACTTTATTCGTTGAAAACTCCAGTGTTTAATAATCTATGTCTAAAATTGGGGTTTATGGGTAATATTTTATCTTTCATACGATGCTCTGCAAGAGTAGATAATGTCTCTAATATACGAACCATGATAACTAATAACCTGATATTGTGTATGAATGTCAGTCTCGGCATATGCTAATCGCTCAAAAAATCTTAGCTCTAGATTCGTAGTTCAAACGTCATTGTCTTCCTTATGTGCAAATAACTTCTGAGGAAAGTCATACTGGTTTTTTCTTTGTATCAGACTGTGGCTGGTGATATAAACCTATGATATAAACTTTAGTTTATACCCACTGTCAAATTACAGCCGGTTTACGAACAACAGTGATTTTATCATTTTAGGTTACTTTCAAAAAACTATCTATAGTTCATCCGAGAAATATCTTTTCCTAATTTTTAGAAAATAGTTGCATTCATGTTTGTAAATTATTTACATAAAACATCAGAGTTAGTATTAGTTAGAATTTAGTCAAATGGTAATAAAACATTGCTGGTGCGTCAAGAAGTCAACACTTGCTCTCATCGTCCTGACGTGTGTATCACCTGTGCATTATACCTATACAAAATGTAATCAAGCATCATCAGGATGCTTAAAGTCCAGACTAATATTTGAGGATGATTCACCATGTCTAATTTCTATCTAGCCACTTTTAACTGAATTAAATTTAAGCTTTTCAACTCAACGCAACATCAGAACAAGTCAACTCACCACCATCCCCAACAATACTAGAAGTTAAAAATGAAACTGATTTATTGAGTAAAGAAGCTGGCGATGAGGCTCGTTTAACTGGTTATAATAAATATGGTTTATTGTCATTAGATGAATATCAAATAATTCGATCAGGTGAAGAACATGTTTTAATGAAATTTTTTAGTGATGATGATGATTCATCTGATTCTGAAAATGAAAGTGGTGATATAACAGCTGTTCAAAAAACAACCAGAAAAAAGGAGAAAAAATCACAGGAAGATAATATTAATAGAATCATGGAGCAACTGGAAATAAATGACTATACGGCTGATAAAAATCAAAAACATACACGTATGAAATAGACAGTGGTTTTTGAAATTGCCTGGTCATGTTGTGCACTCAAAGCTATCTGATTTTGTTATTTATCATTAGTTTTAGATCGTCATAAAACTCATTCTTATCTCAATAATCTTGAACTAAAACCACATCGTTCACATCAAAGTCATCGTCAAAATACTGATTCTCGCTTCCATCACCGACGTTCAGTACGAAATGAATTCCAACCACCATTTTCATCCAGTCAAGAATTATCGTCTCCCAAACATAGACAAGATGAACACCAAGAATTGATTCCAAAAATACAAATAAAAGAAAAATTTTGTAATCATAACACGAAAGAAATAAATGAATTAGATGATGAATTCATAAACACTTTGGATTTGAATAATAACGCTGAAATCGATATTTTATCACCCACCTCAACCATTACAACAAAAATACCGTCCACATCGTCTCTCGTAAATTCACTATCAAATCGCACATCAAAAACTATTTGTAGTGTAGATGAATTTCCTGTCAAAACTCTTCCAAATCTATCTGAGTTAGATCAACTCTCGGCAGCTATTGCCCGTTCAACATGTTCAAAAGTTAGTCAATCGAGTGAAAATACTCAACATTATTCTAGAAAACAATTACATAAAACAATGAGTGAAGTAACACAACAAGATTTACTTGAATTAAATGGTAAAAATAACGTTTTTTTCTTATGAGACCCCCGTGTTCTTCATGAAGTTTAATTTTTTTGCTCCATGTAGATCCACATGATATTGATGCTGAATTAGATCTTCTCGTTGATACAGCAGTCAACGATGGCAAATCCTCACTCTTCATGAATTGTCAACAGTCAGCGTTTGATGTTGTACCGCGGCCACTTGGTGATAAATGGTTTAAACAATGGCAAAAACAAGATTTGGAGCAATTACCAACGTCAACTCATGCTTCAATCTCTGTTACTTCAAATACTCATTTATATGTTGAATGGAATAAAACACAAAACGTCGAACAATTGATCACTCCTATTCTTTCAACTTTTTGCTATAAATCAGAACATGATAATGGATTTGAAAATGAAAAATCTTTTGATGTTATATTTGGAGAAACCTATGAAAGTAGGATACAGAAACCTAATGAATATGTAGATGATAATTTCTCAAAGGTAAGCAATTGTGAGAGAAATTTATTCGATCATGCAAAATCAAATTTGAATCTAAATGAGAAAGAGGTACAGTAACACAGGCTCATTGTCTGGTTAAACTTATTTTTGTTTTAGACGTATGAATTAGTCGATCATGATAATGATCAAACAAATTCTGAACGAACAGTTAAATGTGACAAAGAAGAATTGAAAATACTGAGCAGTTTCGAAAGGCAGCAAATGAACCTATGAATTATTGTACTATTTCTCAACAAATCTTTTTCATCTTCTAGGAATGACGATGAAGAACCGAGTAGATCGTTAATTCAATTTGAATGTATTAACATTTCATCATCAACCAAAAATTTTGATGAAAAAACAATTCATTCAATAAATTTTCATAAAACACATTCACTACCATCGTATATAAGATCGACAAGTGGAGCTGAACGTGGTTCATTATTCAAACGTTTATTTAAACCTCATCAAACATCATCATCAACTCGTTCTAAACGTAACGAAATTCTAGCTCTTGTCAATTCCATACGAGCATTTGTTCGTGATGCCCTTCAAAGTTGTAGAAAAAATTTAAATCTAATCACTATGATGTTGGAACGGTTACAAACATCATCGTCAACCACAACCATAACTCCTGCCATTGAAACACCGGTGTCTGTTTTACAACAACCAGAACAACAACAAGCATTTAAAAAAGTTATTATGAGAAAAATTAGACGACCGAAAATAATTAAAAATATACCAGAACCACCTTCATCTGAAACAATGCGGAAAGACGGTCAGTGAATTGCATAGACATTCAGTAAAATTCTTATAATTTTCTCATGCTTGCAACCGGAAGACCGTGAGCATCCAGACGGACATTGGATGCAAAAGTAAAACTGTTCTTTTCTTCCCCATATCTTGTATTGACCGGTAGACTTTGAAATGCAGACCATCTTTTGCTGTAATAAAAAAATCTTTCTTTCTTTATGTTTCATGAATGTCAGAGAATAAATGACCTTCTCGTATTTTTTTCATAACTTTTTCTTTTTTGAACGCGATGATTTAAACTTTCTTTTGAAAGATTCGCCATTCCATCCTCTACAGAAAAGCATATTGAACATGTTTTATATACTGTAAAAATAATAATATATGGAAGAAATACTGCGAAGCTTCAATCTTAACAATTTTCTAATCCGAAAAAAAACAACTTTTTGATTCTCCTGTAATACAGCCGGGAAAAGCGACCGTTCAATTTTTGAAACTTCCACTATTTCACGAAAACATATCTAACCCACGAGTTATTGCACATCTAGACCCTTGAAGGTGTTCTCTACAAGCTGACCAATTCTGAGAGCATGTTTTAGACTGCTCCCCTTAAGTCTACGCGATCAAAAACGGAAAAGTTATGCAAAAAGTACGAAGAGTGTCATTTATTTTGTGTCATCCATTATACGTTTATTTTCATTTGAAATTAATGTAATATTCTCAATTAGCTTAAAAAAACTGCATGGATGTAATTCTCAAACATTTCCTGAGATATGAAATTTTCCCTGGATAACTCAAGTGTTTCTGTCTAAAAATGAAAAGCTTTCTAATTAAGTTTATTCTTTCAAGAATACTATTTCCGTGAAATTATCCAGATATATTGTGTGGTTCTAACCGAAACCAGTTTGTACTAAAATTTGAGTGAACAACGGTATAGAACGATACATTATGACACAAGGGTCCCATCAGGTACAATCATGCAATAAACTAACATTTCATAAAGAGTCATTCTAACTCAAAAACAATCATTTTTAATAAAAGTTTGATGTCCGTCTGCCTATGACAAAATACCCCATGTGCTAGAGCATCTAATAATATGCTATTTGCCTTTTGTATAGGTATCACAACTATAAGTAGTTCGATCGCTGGTATGAGATATTGTCCATCAATATCGGTTCAAACGGATAATGACAGTGGAAAGTCCTTATCTTAAAAATATGTTCTTCAAGCAACATCAACTAAGAAATATCATTAACATACACATTCTCAACAATCGATCTCTGTCATTGATAGTGATGATGCAAAAAACATGTTCGTCAAATTTAGCTGATTGTAATTGTATAGATGGGACAAAGAATTCGTTATAATCTATGTGACACTCCTATATTCTACTGCAAACAATTATATACTGTTGAAATAGAGATCACATGTGTCTAAAACGAATTACTATGAGCATAAGGTTCCAGTAACTCATTCAATTTGTGTCGTATTAGAATCGCAATACTACAGACTCAGAATTGACACATCGTAAGTGTTTTTCCATTAGATTTTCAATAATGTAAAATTAGTGATGGTAAGAAGAAAAAGAGCGTCAGGTGTGGTTCGGTAACATGTTTATTCGAACAATTTGAAAAGTAATTCCATTTGTATTGAACGTCCCAGTATAAATCCTTTATTAAATACAAAAAAATTATATCGCGTGCCAAGATAAAATGATATTTTGTAATGTAGAGATAATCTGGAATTATAAGTGATTTTGTAAAAGGAGGGAAATTTACGATTGTCAATCATATTAAATTGTTTTACGTGTATGTAATATGCTTCTTATCTTTATGACGTACATTTATTAGTCATGTAAGCTTGTCTAGTTGGCTAATTCTTTCACTCTAATCAATTCTCTTAATTCATTAGGGATGCGCGTGATTTTAAACATAAAAAATGTCGATAAGATGTATGAGATCTGTTCTTATTTTGAAAACTAAGAATTGCTGATGTGTTGTTCAATTCTAGAAGAAGAAAAAAAATTTAAGAAAACCCGTAGACCAATCGGTTTCAAGTCTCTTTTATAATCAGTGGAATGTCTAAATTTTATACTACAACTATAATTTGATTGTGATTCAAAGGCGTGTAAATTTATTAACAAAACTTGTATAAAGTTTAAGTAAAGGATTAAGGAGACACAGTGATGTGTAGAAAGAGAGCATATGAATTTTGTTATCATTTTTGACATGAACAACGAGCAAAAATAATACATAGATGAATATCGATAAATAGTACAAATTCTTTTTCTCTGCTATATAGTTAAAGATGTAGAAAGTAAGATGAAGAGAGAGAGAGAGAGAGAGAGAGAGAGAGAGAGAGAGAATTGTTACCTGTTCTCTTCTCATCTCACTATGTCAATTTTTAATGACAACTTTTTTTTTTTGAAACAAAGTCACATCGTTGGAATTTCACTTTTCTTCTTTTAATTTGTGTTCTTGAAACAGAATGTTCGGTCATTTCACATTCAAAAGCATAGACAATAGGATCAGCTTTCTTTCTATAGAATAATAACAGAACGTACATACTACCAGTGCACATATATTTGATGGAAATGAAACAATGTAATATTAAAATCCTCATCATCATTTAGTTTCTGTCAAGCGAATAAAGAAAGTACAGTAAGTCAAAATAAATAATGGATCTAAAAAACGGGTTTACTATATCCTGTATATAGAAACTAATTATGAAAGTAACAACTGGTCACGCATTACATTTAACAAAAAAAAAAAAAGAAGAAAATGTGTTACATTTAAATATATCAAGTAAAATCTTTTAGTCGAATTGAACATAGAGGAAAGTCAGAAAATTGTGGTTTATTCAGTACTAATTGTTCATTTACTCCTATTTTATATTATCAATGTAAAATCGTTCAATTTATGTTTAACTATTTATTTTCTTGTTCTAGTGTCCTGTATCTTAAACTAATTATAAAAAAAACTATGATTTCGATTCGTTTAAAATCGCTCGGTTTTATCTGGTATAGTTTAATTTGTTTCATTTTTCAAATATGTTCTATTCTTGATGATTTTCGTACTGTTCGTTATTATGATTCTCTTAATTGGTCAAATAAACCGAATAATATATTAACAATATCGTTAACATTTTTGGCTGTTAGTCTTATTGGTGGTCCATTATGTTCTATTATGAATTTAATTAAAATGGGAAATTTAGTAGAAGATAATTTACAATTTGGATTAGAATATGATACAAATCAAAAACGACATCGTTTAGCCATACCATTTGTATCTCTTGCAGAAGTACAAATCACACTGTTATTATTACTACCAAAAATTTTATTAGAAGCTGAAGAAATTAAAGCTCAATTAAAATCTGAAGGTAAACCATTAATAATTACTGACTATTTCCGATTTTTTTTCTTCTTCTACAATTAAGATATTCAGAGAGGAGAAATGATAAAATGAATAGAATTGAAATAAATGATAATTAACGTTATAGAATTTATTTATACACATGAGAAATATTAAGTGTATTTTTTCGATCATTAAATTCTATTAAGTGGAATTTATATGAAACGATCTTTTATTGGTTCATCTATTTTATGTTGTTTCGATATATTTTCTGTATTAACAAAGTCAAAACGATAGTCATTCGTATTTTCTGAACATTTTTAAATACGTTAAAAAAAAATTTCAATTAAAAATTTTTACAATTTTAATGACAGTAAATATACATGAGAGACATTTCTTTCGTCACTATACATTCAGATGTCAAGTGATTCTGAGAACATTTATTGCAAACGTTTGTATATGTGTGTGTGTGTATGTATGAAATGAGAGAGAAAGAGAGTCACTTAATGAGTAGGAACTATGCATGTGTGTATAGTACTAACATATAATAGAATTGTTTTTAACTTTTTGATTAGTTTTTCTCTCTATCTTTCAAACGAAATGACGTATAATGATACAATTAAAACTAAAGACAAAAAAAACAACAACAATAGAAGTTCAAAAATGGTAGTTGTTGTTGAAGAGTTTATCAACAATATCCACTTTCAATTTCAATATACACACGCTAATGGATTTTGAAAACAATTTTTAATTGTATCATTCAAATTTAAATCCAAAATATACGTCTGTTATACAGAACTCTGTTTCCTAATGTTGAAACTATTTAAATAACGTCTCATTATGCTCTAGTAGAGGATTATTATTAAAAAAAAGAAAAGAAGAAGGGACTATAGCAATGTTAATCTTGTTATTCAATTTCTTTATTTTCTTTTTTTTTTAGGTTTCGCATTTGAATCTGATTTAGATTTTCTATTGGGTACTGCTGATGAACGTATTAATTTGTATAATCAATCGTCGATCCCTCTCTATCGATCGGTAACATTTTCATATTATAAACCTGTTGTTTCATGTCAATTGTTGTATTATTTTCTTGTATTATGTCGTTTATCTTATTTGTATGCATCAGCCTATTGGAATTCGAATAAATGTTATTCTATTCTATGTAATCTTCACTCATTGCTCGTATTAACACTATGTATATTTACTGTAGCAACATTTGAAGTTTTATATAAAAATGTGACATTCTTATTTTCATCTGTTACATTATTACATTTATCAAGTCTTATACAGACACCATTGATATTATTAATTTGTTTATTTGTTGGATTATTATTAATTTTACTAACAAATCATTGTCTCTACTATTTTGGTTATATTCTCTATGAACAATCATTAATTAGATTAAAAAATCAATTAATTCGATTATCAAATTTAGATGATCAATATTTTACAAATCAAAATCGTCCATTACGTCGTACTCTATTATTTTATTTATTATACGTTTTTTTAAGTTTACTCTGTTTTTTATTATATATTTATCATATTATTAAAATGTTTCAACAGGGAATTTATGATTTATTATTAATTATTCAGTTAGGACTATTATTATTTTATCTTCTATTTTCCCTAAGTTTATTTGCATTTTTAACTTGTACACGTGTATGGCATTTTCAATTTTCATCATCATATAAATATCAATGTTGGAATCATTTAAATTCTCAACTTGGTAATGATAATGGTGAACAAAAACCACGATCTCAAAGTATTACATCAACATCTGAACAAAGTTCAAATAATTCAAGGTAAATAATTTTACTAATAGAATTTAATAAATCTTAAAAAATAATAATAACAATTTATTTTATTATTTTAGAAATAATAATAATATTGATCAAATTGTTTATAATCGTCGACCTTTTAGTCGATCAACAAATGTTGAAGATAAATTATTTACAATTAATAATTCACCATATGAATATGCTCGTGCACAACGTACAGTTATTATACCAACAGTGAATAGTAGTGGTTTAACTGTATTAGATGAAGATGGAATACGTCTTACATCACCTCTAAATAGCAACAATTATTCACATTCACATAGTAGTACATTGATTAATCCATATGATAATCGTACATTAACATCAAATATTGATACAACTCATCATAGCTCATCGACATCCTCATTTATCTGTTTGAATAAAGATGAGAATAACGAGCAAGCAATAGAACAATCTAAAAAATTAATAAATGTTCATGAACATGTATCAACAAGTGTTGATGATATTGATTCAGGAAATCATTCATCATCGACATTATCTCAACAACATCAAATTATACATCATCATCGATCATTAATACATCCAGATTATCAAAGAATAAAAACAGGTGTAACCACAGATACATTACTTGTCATGCATTAATAATACACGCACACACATGATGTAAATCATTTTGTTTTTTTTTGTTTTTTTTTTGAAGAGCAATTTTGTAATAAAATGTAGACAATAAACAAATATTAGACATAAATTAAATAATTTGAAATTATTTAAAGGTATAAAATATTTAAATTGAAATATTGTAAATAAAACATTATCCTTTTTATCACACGGCATGAGCTAATTGTAGCAATAGAAGTTATTTTTTGTTTCTTCTCTGTTTGTGTATGTGTGTGTGTGTGTGTGTGTGTGTGTGTATGAGTACATATATGTTTGAATGGAAAAAAAAGAAGAAAGAAAACCTTCTTAACAAACTTTGCACATTATGAAAAAGAAAATCAAATTAAAAAACAAAATAATAAAAATTAAAATGAACGACAATATAAGAAAAAAAAAAAAAAAACAAGAGAAAATCAAGCACACATCAGATTTTTATTTTTTTCATAGAATAAAAAAGACGAAGAAGAAGAAAGAAGCTATATATATATACATATATATATATATTTAAATGGAATCTAGAAAACATTTGTTTCTGTTGTTTATTTGTTTTCTTCTCTATTTTTTGATTATATTAATAAATAGATGAAAACTTTTAAAAATGACGATAGCAAGATTTTGTTTTTTTTTCTTTTTCTTGTTAAATACAAAAATAATATATGTAGAGAGAGAGAGAGAAACACACGCACAAATATTAAAATTATCTATAAATTGAAAGAGATATATAATTGAGCTTGAGCTATGCTCTCAGGCACTGTACAAAAACATATCAATATATATCAGTACATATCTAATACTATCCAACATCTGAAAATATATATATATATATATTTATATATAAAGAAGAGTGAAAGACCTTATGTCACTGGTTATCGTCGTTGGATGAGATGTTTTTTTTTTTTTTTCTTTTTATTATATATATGGGAAAATATTTTTTATTATCATCGACGAGAAGAGATGGATGAGACTGATATAATTCTACTCCATACGTTGTTTTAAAATAAGATCCTTTTTGGATTATTTTATTTTATTTTTTGGTTTTTTGGTATGTGTGTGTGTGTGTGTGTGTGTGTGTTTTTTGGTTTTTTGCTCGATATCATTGATTCATAATTCTTGGTAAAAATGAATTATTTGTACTTTGTGTATTACTTAAATTATTATTAGGATTTGGTTTGTCTTCATCGATCAGAAGTGTATCTTCATTACCTGTTGTTTCATTAAAACTAAAATCTAAATAGAAGAACAAAAAAAATGAAATTAGAACAGTAGACATTTTTCTAAAAAACTTAAAGTAGATGGAATACATTAGTATTATTAGATACCATTATTTGAAAACAAAAATATATATATATATATATAAAATATCTCATTTTTAGATTGAAATAGTGTTGAAACATGCTCCAATAATTAGGGTAAACAATACAAAAATTCATTATTTTTTTTTTTTTTTTTTTATATTGAATTTTTGTGTTAAAACTTGCATGAATCTCCATTTGTTGTTATATTTTCATCTTTTCTTGTTTTATATCTTGTACGAGATTCTCTTGATGTTCGTTTTAATTTTGCTTCAATTATCCATGGATGACGTAATCCTTCTTCAGGTGTTAAACGTTCTAATGGATCCCATCTTAAATAAATATTATAAAAATAAATAGATAACGAGAAGAAAACAAAATAAAAAAAAAATATGTGAACATACTCAAAACATCGTCGTATGAAATCAATAAAATTATTATCAGTTGTTCGTAATATTTGGCCTAATGGTCTACTAGCTGGACGACGTTTTTTTAAATTTTTTGTTGCTACACTACGAGAAACACCTTTAGAATCTAAAATTAATATAAAATGATACGTTTATTTTTACTCCCTTCATATTTAGCGTTTTGTATATCAAAATAAATAGATGATGATAGTAAGTAGTAGAAAATATTAAAATGTACGTACCAAAAAATAATTTTTTTCTTGATCCTTGCTCTAAGACGTGTTGTGGCGGCAAATCGATAACTTCCATAATCATTGCTAATTGTTCTTGTTCATTTTCACCAGGAAATATGGGATAGCCTAGAAAAAAGAAAAATTATGAATATTATCAACAAAAAACAATACCAAAATTTCGATAAAAATAGTAGAAATGATCCCGGATTTCGAAAAGAAATATTTCCGACAGAATTGATCCCGAAATAAACTAAATTTTATATTTATTGTGCAGAATTAATCCCGAGTGAGTATCCTCACCACGAAAACGTTTTTCTTTCTGCGAACAATAGAATTGATCCCGGTTGATGTGTTTAGTGGTCACATAAGATCTCATTTCCCAAAGCTCTTCGCTGATTTCTATATACATTTTTAACACTCTTCTGTTTTATTACAAATAAATATAGTCTCCGATACTTCAATCTCTGTTCAGTCTTTCGATAACGCTAATTTAACTTTCTTTGGTAGATCTCGACCTTTACGCTTCCCTATTTGTTGCGGTATTGCTCGAATACCTCAAAACATCATTAAATCAATGGCATGAACACAGGCGTATTCTTTCATTCCGTATTTTCATGTACAGAATCACGGTTAGAACCATGCAGACACCGTGAGTTTTGATAAAACTTAATAAATTAGTCTCGTTTGCACACGTAAAAACTACCAGTCATGTCTTGCGAGTGTGAGTGAAAAAATTATGAAAAAAGATGTGACCACTGCATATTGCTATTGTTTATGTCTCAACGCCGTCTTTATATTCACACCACACGTCAACTGGGATCAATTCTGTCGTTCACAGAAAGAAAAAAGTTTTCCGGGATCAATTCTGCACAATATAATTAAAAATTAGTTTATTCCGGGATCAATTCTATCGAAAATATTTTTTTTTCTAAATCCGGGATCATGTCTGCCATTTTTATCTAAATTTTGGTATACGGGATCCATTCTGCAATTTTTACGGAATCAAAACAATTACCGTCCTTCAAAATTACCTGTAAACAATTCCACAAGGATACAACCGAAACTCCACATGTCAATGGCAGGTGTATATGGGATACCGAGTATAATTTCAGGAGCACGATAAAAACGACTTTGAATGTATGTATAAACTACGATAGCAGAAAAAAACAAGACATTTTTTGTTTTCTTCTCCTATACATATTTTAGACTGTACTTACTTCTTTGTGATTCAAAACATCCAGAACCAAAATCGATTACTTTTATAGCACTACTTCCTTTCTGACGAAGAAGAATATTTTCCTAGAAAAATCAAAAAAAAAAATTTGTTTTTTTACATTTTTTTTTCGGATTTAAAATTTATTTGTGTCAAAAATAAAACATACCGGTTTAAGATCACAGTGTATAATTTTTTCTCTATACATCACTCTCAAACATTGTAACATTGAATTGGCAAATCGTCTGACTAGATGAACACTGAAACCCTGATAATTATTTTTCTTTATCAATTCGTACAAATTAATTCTACAATTAAAATATTTTCAATTAATAAACGATTTTTTAATATTAATTTTTAACTAACCCTAATAATTCAAATGTAATACATAAATGACTTCGAAAAGAAAAATGTTCTTTCATATGTACAACATTCAATGAATTATCAACGTCTAAATTTCGTAAATGTTGTAAAATATTTACTTCAACTAAACCTTGTTGTTGAAATCTAAAATAAATAAGTAAAGAAACAAAAAAAAAAGTGAAATATTATAATAAATACTATAGATAAGAATTAAAAAGAAATATACCGTTTTTTATTTCGAATAATTTTCAATGCTACAGCTTCTTTCTTCTTATGATCATAACATCTCAAAACAAGACCAAAACTACCTTTTCCAAGTGTTTCTAATACTTCAAATCGATAACATATATGATCTTTTGTAGTCTAAACAAGAAGATACAACTCTAGAAGTTTGAGATATCAATGTTTCTTGTCTAATTGCTTCGTGAAGATTAAAAATTTTTTTTCAATATCATTCTTCCCATGTTTTATTGTAATTTCTCGTTTGTGATCACACTTAGTCGATCTTTCATTGTTACATCGTTTATGTTTATAGATAATCACCATAAGGCGTTTTTACAAGCAAAATCTTATCTTATCGAGATATTTTATTGAAATGCTTCATGCGAAATCTTGTAAGACGAGACTTTCGTACAATAAAGATGGATATATAGGAGATTTGTAAGTAAATGACCACTGAAAATACTGTTCTTTGAATATAAACTTAAACAAGGTCTGGGAAGATACGTTCCTGTCTCACTGGAATGATTACTTTTCTAGAGCAAGAGAAATCTTGTCCATTCTCGCTTCTGCAGTGAATTCTTGAGTATGACATTCTCCTAACAGAATGTTTCAAGAATATTCTTTTAACAGCAGTATTTTGCAGAGCTATACTAAAAAGATTTTAACTGTACAGACTAAACTAAACTGCAGACAAGCAGCTTTTATATGAACCGAATAACACTTTAATAATTTACGGTGAAGTGCGCATAAACACCCTGCATACAAATATAGATCACAGAGAATCAGTTTTTACTTGATGATGAATCATGCAATATAAATATCGCCGCTTATTGAGAATTGTTTTAATTATCGTTTGTGCGCGTATGCTATATCATAAATAGAATATGGATTTAACGCAAAAAAAAGCACTGTTTCCAAAGTATCTACCGTACCATGGAACAGATAAATTTTTGTCTGCAGAAAGGAAACATCTACCTAATATAACAAACATAAAGTCCGAAAGAACCACATCGAACTGATAGAGAAGTGTGTATCTCAAAGTTCATTTCTTGACTATGAAGCATTTTTAAAAAGATCGGTTTTACTAAAAGCATGACAGGGTAAAAAGAGAAACTTCTGTTGATTTTTTTTCGTAATCATATTAATTAAGAAATATGTTCCAATTCTAAGAGTGGTCATTCTCTACATAAAAAAAATTAGGAATAAATTATCGATCATGAAATTTGTAAAAGAAGAGAGGATTTTTGAAATAGATATTGCTAGAAAATGACTTTTTATCGCTTTTATACCCATTTCTCATTCTATTACCGTGGAAACGAGATGAAAAACGATATAGCAGAATCAGTGCCTCAGACTTTTAGACATTGTAACTAACATCAAGCAGATTATTATTGAAAAATCATATATACTTTGAGATATGATCCATTTTCATCATCATAATCTTTTATTGTTGCTGCTGATATTTTTTCTGCTTCTAATCCCAGAAAATAAATTTCAGGATATTCAAATAATTCGGTTTTTTCAAAATCAGTTAATTTTTCACCATAATAGGCAAGTGCTTCTAAAATAGAAATGTTCTATTATATTTTTTCTAATAAATAGTTTATTAATTTTACTTGCCACTGGGTTTAATTGGAAAATTTGTTGGTTTTGAATCAATGAAAAAACTTCTAGATCGTGTATATTGGCTGGTAGATAAATTATTATCTGTTCTTGCAGTTAAATGAGATGTGCCATGATGTGACGATGAATGATGACCACCGGTTGTTGTTGTATTTGTATGATGAGTATGATAAGTGGTATCAGTATCTTTTGAACGAAGACTACCTTCACGGGTTTTTTCTCGACGTATTCGCGGATGTCGAGCGGAATTCACTGGTGAATTTGTACTGTCATTTAAAAATGGTAATGATGATTCGGTATTTGTAGTATTATTCAAAACGTGATAGTTATGATGACTTCCACTTTTTTGTGAATGTGCGTGAGAGACTGCTGTTGTTTGACCGTATGATACACGCTGTTTATCAACACGAGGAAATGAGCCGTTTAACACATTTTGAACAGCAATTTTCTAATAAATTGAGAAAATTAATTTAATCTCGATTCGTTCGTTCTAACTTCTCACTGTAAAAGTTTTATATTTATCAGAGGACATTCTCTAAGATGATTTAAAATGATCTATCACAGATTAATAATCATGTCAAATGAGTCAATAATCAAGTTGAAGGTGTCTTTTCAATACATACACATATTTTTTTTTGTTTTGAATTTGTTAACTTATTGAGAAATGACTATGAACATAGTAGTAGAAGAATCAAAACTTCAAATTCGATAAAGTAAAAAATGGATGAGAAACTGAAAGAGTTGTTCTCTAGCTATGAAAAATAGTTTATTGATTGAAGTAAAAATTAGGTATCAAATGTTGTAGAGCAGTAAAAACACAATGTCAATAAAGTAATAAGAATAGATCATACTGATGACTGTACTTTTTTCTTTTGTATCATAAAATGAGTTTATTTACTAAAAAATTAGATACTTTAATTTTTGAAAAAATAAAAAATTAATTGCCGTACGTACACATCACTCTCGACTCAATAATGTCCTATGAGATAAAACTTATACAGTTAAATCGTGGATGAATCGCGAGGATTTGTTTTTTTAGTCAATTATATTTTAACGATACGCGTGTATAGGCTTAGTTATGAACTCTTTCCATTTTGACTTCATTTTATTTACGTACTTGTACTTTGGCCAATGGTTTTGATGTGATACTGAGTCCAATATCTCCAAATGATGTGTCCATATCACCATCTGTGCCATTATTGTAACTAGACACATGTACATGCGTTCCACTCGTCTAAAAGTAGAGAAAACGATAAAAAGAATGATTTTAATTTGAAATAAAAAATAATAATAATCAATGTTATTTTTTTTATTAGAATGTATACATTTTAAACAGTTTTATGTAGATCCATTTGATTATTAATACTGTTACCTTAGATGATGAAGGAATTTTAGTAGTATCACGCATTTTTAACATAGTTATTTTATAATCCATCTATACAAGATAAAATGGGAATAATTATCTCCTCATTGATACATTAATTCAATAAACAAAGTCTGGAATTATTACTCAGATTTAAAATGCTGACTGACGACTAATAAATTTGATGTAGACAACCGATAGTTAAGAAAAAAGTCACATTTTTTTAAACAATTCAAAACGAATATGTCTCTTTTTTTTTTGAAAAAAAATTTTTTTTTTCATCTGTATGTTTTAACAAACAAGGCCAAACTAAAATGTTTAAATATGGGATTAGTAAGCCGAATACTTCAAAATATCAATATACTAAATTACATATGTTGAAAAATTGTAGCACTTTATTTTATTTATTATTATTATTATTGACCATGTTCTCTACTCTGTTCAGTAAAAAAATTATTTTTAACTATATTAGCTGTTTTCTAGGTTTGTTTTTTCTAATAAAATCTTATCTATTTCTAATAAAACTTTTTTAATAAATCAAACAAGATGAGATGAACAAGTCTATTTAGACGTTTCATTTGAATATTTAATATCATATTTGAACAGGTATGTATCTTTTTTTATCACTATTTTACCACACTTTTTATACTGACCATGTGTGTTTGAATGTCGTCTGTTCTTAGACGTGTGAAATATTTTTGAGTTTGAACAATTTTCTATGCAACAATAGATATGAGAGATCTACTTTTTTTAAAAGGTAAACTATCGATCAGATTAAACTTTTCTATGGATTTCAATAGAGTGAAGTATACGTAAATAATATGTGGCGATTAATTGTTGAATATTAACTTTATTTAAAATTTGTTAAAATTTAACATGTTGTATTTTGGAATTTTAATGGGAACTTACAATAGGAAGAGAAATAATGTACCTAAAATCTTTTGAAATTAGTTAATTCTTTCTCTTTATGCTGTTATGAATTTTGATTAGAATAGTGACGGAGACATTGAATATTAAATAAGTCATAGAGCATGTGTAGATTCTTTTATTGCTAAAATCAAGTCAATTTTAGATAAAGAAATGAAACTTGAAGACTCCACGACTGTATGTTTTTCTTCTAACTATCAATCTCTTACTCCACATAAGTATCAGAGAGAGGCTTTTGTGTTCCTTCGCTAATTTTATGTATAAACACTCAATTATGGGAATCTACTGCATCATCGTTACCATTTTTTTACGAAACTTTTTTTTCATTAAGCTTTACGTATCCGATTGATCGAAGTAACTTAGCGACATGAATATTTAGGATTCTCTTTTGCATTTTTCACCTGCAAAAATAAAACAAAAAGAACTTGAATGAAGCTTAACGTATATTATTCTAGATGTAAAAAGTCTTGGCTCAACTATCGTTTCTTTCATTCTCACTCATCCTCATCCACTTTTGTCTCTCTAATGTTTTTTGTAATGTGGCAGAAAGTAATTAGGCTTTAAGTTTTCTCGCTTATATTCAAAATTTATTTAAAACTTTCTTCAAGTATATGGACGAATGTACAAATTTATTAGTGAGAATATTCTGTGTACATTCTCTAATTTTTTTACAGTTTCTCCACAACATCGATACATGTTAGATTTTAAAACATATATTATATTGGAGTGGAGTGTTAAAACTTTGTTCGTTAATGATACATTAAGTCTAATAGACAAACAGAAACATTTTTCTCGTGGATTTTCTTAAAAATAAATTCGGAGAAAATGACAAATGACATAAATTGACAACAAATATATTATTTCACGTTGTAGACGTATTATATTGCCTATACTTATTAAATTTCTAATATTTCTTCTACTTCTGAGAACACAAGTCTCATTTGTTTCTCTATTATTTTTCGATACTCTGCAACTCTCTCTCTCTCTCTCTCTCTCTCTCTCTCCAATGTAAACATTTGGACAAATGATTTTTGCTTAGCATATATATAATAGCATTTGCAAATATTTTCTTTTTTTATTCTCTATTTTCTTTTCAATATAACTTTCAGCTATATTTGTATTTTCTTTTTACTCAAAGACGGGGTGGGGGTGTGAAATCATCTTTATAGAACAACATCTATTTGATTGACACTAAATCAGACATATACTCTCATATTAGCTAAAATTCAATCTAAATAGAGCATTCTATTTTCAACTATGAGATTTTTGCTTATAAAAGTTGAATTGTGATGAATTCTTTTTAAAAGTTAAAAGTAGGATACGGTTACAGCTCCTATGATGATTAATCCTACCTGTTAGGGGACAGATGACTTTTAAGACATTATTTGGTGTTAATAACAATAAAAAAGAAGATATTTCTTCTTTAGAATATAAACATTTATTTATTTTCTTATAGAACAAACTACTACCTAACTTACCCGATAAAATCCTTTTGATATAAAATTTTGTATTGTTGAAGTCATTCTTCTTCTTGTCTAAGTGTTATTGTATCTTCTTTTATATGGAAGCAAACATTTTGTTTTTAATGTACAAAAAATTGGTTTAAGAAACATCAAAAATATTAAATTTTGTTCAAAACATATTGTTGCATGTTTCGCTTTTTTGAAAAAAAAAACGACAATGAAATTTTACTTCCTGGAAAGAAATATACATCCATTTTTTGTTGCTAGTTTAAAGAAGAGAAAATGTTTTTATGCCGTTGTGCACTTTTTTTTATTATTTTGTTCAAGTAGTTATAAATATACTTTTAAAAATGGTTTTTATCTTAAGAAACTAATCAGGTGAAGCACACATATAGATGAAGTTGATATCAAATATAAAAATAGGAAAAATATATATTATTTAGATGTGAACAAGAGAACTTGTCAGGATTTTTACTATTTCTATTTAACTTCTCTTCTTTTTTTTTTTTTTTTGAATAAGAAAAATTTAGAAAAAAGAAAACAGTGGTAAGTTAAGAAACACGATGAATTTCTGTTGATTAGACGAGAGATAAAAGCAAATACAGAAGGATAAGAAAGAATTGTTATATTGCTTACAGAAGAAGAATGTAAAAGCTTTTCTTTTTTCTACTCAACCTTCTATGACAAAGATACAAAATGTCCATAAGTCATATTTTCAGAAGAACTGTATGTATATGATATGAGTTAACATAAGAAAAAATTGATTTTAATAGAAGCAAAATTTTTTATTAGAAAAAATAATGTCTAGTAATAAACATTGAAACAAATGTTATACTAAAAAATGGTTCAGTATAAGAAATCACAATTTCTTTTACCATATCAATTCAACAAAACTTACAAAAATGATAATTTTCATACACATACAAAAAAAGTCTCTCTCATGATAATAATTATGTACAACGGACTGTTTTTCAAATTTTATCATTGGAATATACAAAAACGTTTCATCTTGTGTACATGATGAATGTTTTATATATATAAATTATATTAGACTTCTATTTACTTATTCATTATCTAATGGTGAAGGTTTAAATCACTCAAATACAAAAGCATTTAATAAAAAATAAACACTTTTGTTAACCAATGAATACTTTTTTTCTATTTTCTGTTTTTTAGCAATTAATAGTCAAATATCTTTAGTATCATATCTGCCATAATCTGGTAATTATTTACGTCAAAGTAATGTAATGATTCTACCTACTTTTTTCTTATTTCTTATATTCAGATCATATTTATAAAAATCATGTGAGTTTTTCATATACTATTCTCAATCATATGTAAAAGAATCGTGTTCTAAAAATACACTAGAATTCTAGTAAATCATTTAACCACACCTTCTTTTCATCTACCAATAAAAAATGATTATGATCTCTATTTTTTTAATAGAAAACTAAAATTTTTTGTTTCTTTAATCAGAATTTAGTGCGAGAAATCTTCAGGCAAAAGAATATTTTTACAAGAATACACTTAGACTTATTGTTTAACGTAGTCTTATCACATATATAGATGGTATTATACTCGAAGCGTTGCAGTCCAGTTGATAAGGGAGTCATCTTGCGGGAATTTTGTAGATGAAGTTGGTTTCTAAAATTTTTTTACTCAAAAGATTTTTTGTACTACAAGAACTCATGATATTACAGAAAAACTCGCACAATTAAACAGAATTTAACAATTCTTCTAGAAATCTATGTAAACAATGAGATTATACCTTTGATATTTTGCTATAACTCTCTTTAGTATCCATAGTTTTTCTTTTCTATAGTATTTTCTAGATAGGTAAGATGTTGGGCTCACATTCCTTTGTTTATGTTCAGTTGATTGAAGAAAGAAAAAATGAGTACAATAGTATTATATCATGTATCAGAAGGAAACTTATCTGGTCGTCGATGAAATCTTGTAATGTTTCACCTGGCTAATAAGTTTATAAAAGCAATATTTGGAGTAAATAAAATTTTTATAAGAAACGGGTGATCAAAATAGTAAACAAATTAAATTCCATATCTATAACGTAACAATAAAGAGTTTTCCTTTACAATAATTTCCGACAAAAGATGAGGTTTCGTTTATGTAAATGTGTAAATACTTGGAAAAACCAAGACAACAGTAATAACGATGCTTTGAGGAAGAACAATCAAAATTATTCAGTAAGTTTCAAAAATAAGGATGAATGAAGAAAATGGGGCACCACTTTGCAATTAATTAAATTCTCTTGAACCTGCTATAAAATAAAAGTGATTAAAATAAATGATTCAATACAACAAAAACATACAACATTCTGAACGAAACGAAACGTCTTCAAGCTCTTCACAATGTTCTATGTATACAACTGCATTCAACTTAAGATAGGCTTCGAAGGTATTTGTTGCTAGTTTTGATCAACTGAACTCAATTTGAAAAAAACCGTCGTGCAGAACACAGATGGGCGAGTACACGGATTTCTGCGTACGAGTACTGAAGATCAAGTATAAATAGGAGTACAAGTATTTTCTGAAAAGTACTCTAGCAGTATTCGAGTATTTTTTTTCTTCTGAAGAAGCCATTGAATCCGAAAATATTTCCAAATAAATAGATTTTTTGAATTTTGTACTCGAGTAT